AAAAAAAAAAAAAAAAAAAAAAGACGTTCTCAGCCAATTGGCCTCTTCATGTATTTGCACCAGAATCTTCACAAAGAAGGGAGAACTTCTATGATCTCAGGGATACCTGTGTGCTGCCTCTAAGCAGATATTATGCTAAAAGAAAACATTAACCTCCAGAATGCCATCAAACTTTCTAGTATTTGGAAGTATGCAATGAATACAAAAGAGTTGCAGAATACTAATTGAACTATCAAATATTATACTCAAAATATTTAATTTCCAAAAATGGCCATCTCCCTATTGGACCTCAGAGGGCTTAAATGATTTTCCCACAGCTGGAAAGTGACAGGAATTATCTTTAAGCTCAGGTCTTCTGACTCTTCTGACTCCAAAGCTAGTGCACATTATATTGCTTTACTTTTTCTCTTAGTAGTTCACAGATGTATAAGCCAAGCTGGCGAGGTCAATCACGCCAAGAGAGGCAGCAGTATTTCTTAGACTCTAGTGCCGTGAAGTTAAATACAACAGTTTATAGATTAATTCTTATTTGGCACTCCAATATCATTAGATTGATTGAAATCAGCTACATCTTCAATATTTCAAAGTTAGAAGATATATGGCACACAATTTCATTTTCTCTTATGACTTTAAATATGCTCTGGAAACGAGGAAGGAAAATACTTGGTAACATTCTCCACCAGAACATAACACTGCTTTTTTCTTGCCTTCCATGACATCAGCCTCCTAGCTCTCTCTTTGCAGGTCTTTGTAGACCCCTTGGGGGATCATCTCCCTCGGCTTGCCCATTGGACGCCGGTGTTTCCCAGAGTTCTGTCCTTAGGTCTCTTCCCTTCTCAGTGTACATGGGGTCTCCTAGGTGATTTCCACTACCATCTGCAGACTGATGACTTCATCTCTGGTACGGACCATTCTGACCTATAGAACCATAGATTCCATTTCTTCTAATTGGACAGTTCTGTCTGGATGACCCACAGAGAACACAATCTCAACACACCCTAAATTGAATTTCACTACCTTCCCTGCACCTGCTCTCTGCATCTCCCCACAGCCCCCTTTTAATTCCCAGTGTCATAAATGGTACCTGACAGTCATTCTCAAATTCTTTCCCTCTCTCCTCACATCTAAGTATTCATCCATTCTTTTGGTTCTCCCTCTGTTATATCTCTCAATGTCTCCTCCTCGCTGATACTCCTTCATTAGAGCCCTCATCAAGTCTAACCTGCACTATTCTAATACATCTCCTCACGAGTCCCCTCTTTGCCTTGTCCCCCTCTTGTTCCTGAGGCACATTGCTGAACCATGTTATTTCCAGCTGAAAGCCCTACAGTGGCTTCTTACTCCCAAAGAGTCAAACCCGGACTCCACGGCCCCCCCTGCTCCCTCCTGCAGCCAAACCCTAATTGAAATCAGAGTTTCGGCTGCACTGAACTACCTGCAGTTATCTGAACGTCCCCCGCTGTCAGTCCTCTGCAATTATATGCCGATGCTGCTCACTCCACCCAACCTCTTAGCGTTGGCTTGTCAGGTCTTTGCTTTTAACGTCCTTGCCATTATGGATTTGTATGTAGTTTAACACTTAAAATGATTTTCTTTTATGTTCACCTTCACCTCTCTCAATTTTTCGCAAGAAGCAAGCAAATCGTAAAAAATGAGAGTATCTAACCTTTTTAAAATACCTAAATGAATAAGGAATATCTTTCTCTTTCTTCTATTTGATTATTCTGATACGGTTCAGATGAATATAGAAATTGTAAAACTTCAAAAAAGTTGTTGTCTTAGGTCTATTCATATTTGCAAGGTTTTCAATTTGATGCATAACTCACACCATTCTGGGGCAAGCTTGGGGGCGATGAATTTACCCCCAGATCTCCACTTAGAGAACAGGGCATTCCTGGCCTACTGTGGCAGACT